CTAAAACCACGAATTTGCTGAGGTCTAGCCGCCGGCCAACTGGCCTAGAACCACGAATTTGCTGAGGTTTTGGCTGCCGCGCCGATGCTGGAACCCGAATTTGGCCAAAAACCACGAACTTGCTGAGGTCTGGCCAGGGCCAAGTGGCCAAAAACCACGAATTTCATGAGGTCTGGCCAGGGCCAGGTGGCCAAAAACCACGAATGATATTAAAGTTTAAATATACATATGATAGAGAGGTTTAGGGTACCTTACGGATGTTTCGGGGGGGCTGAAGAGGTTGGGGTTGGGGGGTGGCATCGATGTTTGTGGGCTTTGGGGCTTCAGGATTTAAATTTGGTGACGCCAATGCGGTTGATAGTGACGGCGATGGCGACGGCGACTGCGCGGGTGATGATGTTGATGATGATGATGATGATGATATGATGATGATGATGATGATGAAGAAGAAGAAGATGATGATGATGATGAGATGGTGAGATGATGATGATGATGGTGATGATGATGATGGTGATGATGGTGATGATGGTGATGGTTGCAGAGGCGAAGAGGAGGAAGAGCATGAGGCGCATCAAGACGGCCACGGCCGAAGCGGAAACGAAAGTGAGCATGACAAACTGACTCTTGTTTTGACCGGGCCGCGATTCGGATGTGTGCTTTGTTCGCGTTGGCCACGCTTCTCGGTGGACAGGTCTGAGGCTAATAGAGGGGCCTTAACTATCAGAATAGGAATGCTAGCTAATGGTTATAAGGCCCCTATATCATCCGCTCGACCTATCGAAAACAACCCGGGCATCACATCTTGCATCTGTGCTTGCCATCCCAAGTAGATGGGCCTTGACCTGTACAATGTGGTCCCGGCAGTCTGCTTAAAGGATCATGGGACTTAGTAACTAGGGTTATAAATAATAAGGTAACTATAATTATAGCCCCAATTAGGGCTTACTAAGTCCCCTGATCCTCCAAGTGCAGAATGGCTTGACGTTTGTGTCAGACCATGATCTGCTCGACCGGATTGCCTGCGATGCAGGATAAGTCCATGCAATACCTCGGCCCGGCGCTATCGGGCAAGTAGCTTCCCAAATGCGTACCGCAAGAGGAGTAAACGAAGCCATTCTTGTCAACCGACACATGCTCAGAGAACACCTCCTCCTTACGAAACGAAGGCCAGCCGTGCTCATCTGTGTCGGCTTTGAAGTCGGCCATGCTCCTGAAGGGGTCGGAAAAATTGGTAAGCATGTCCCCTTACAGTCACAGTCCATATTATAGCCGTACCATATGGGTAGTTGACAAAATCGTGGTCCCTTTTGGGGTACCCTAAATAATAGGTGCCGTATTATAATAAGGACCCAAAAAGGGACCATAATTTTGACAACCACCCATATGGGACCCAACAAGACCCTATTCTAATTACCAAGGCCCCCTATATTGCAGCAGTGAGCTGCGAGTTTGCAGCCCGAGTCCTGTTCACCGGTGCCTGAGCGAGCAGTCACAGCAGGCGCACTCAGGAGCATACTGCCCTTTAAGGTGCAGGGTTTAGGGTTAGGG